CAATTCAGAGAATGATAGAACTTTAAAACGACAATAGGAGGAGAAAGAAAAAAGGTGCGGGCTAGGTGTGGGGAGGCAGTAAAATAATTGTCACACTAAATAAAAAAAACAGTTCAACTGTTTGGAGGTGGCGGTTCAGTCCAGCCATCTCGAGCAAATAGCAATGTAGAGGTCACTGACTTATCGAACTTTCAACTCTTATTACAAATCACACTAATGATAAATCCGTCTCTGTGGTTGACGGTGTGCCAACCAGTGTATCCATTTGAACATTGAGAACCCCAAACTATAATTGTTGAGGCCACAAATCCAGATACAGTTTAGATAAAAAGCAATTGTAAAAATAGCGGCACGCGTGTTTGTTTGCTACAACAACGTCCGACTTTGACAAAAGTGGACAAGCGCACTGTTATTTGGGTTCAGTGACAAAAGAACAGAAAACAAGCTCTGCATTGCTGCCAAAAATGAGCACAGCTGGCCCAACTAAAATCAGAATTGAGAGTGGTTCCCAATCTGTATATTAAGGTAATGCGCACAGAGTGGGAATTTACCAATTCCACCAAACTTGCGCTTTCAGTTTTTTCTCTCAACCCTTAAACCCTTTACAGGGAGATATTTTCAGCGTACAGTGCGTGTGTGTGTGTGTGTGTGTGGGGGGGGGGGGGGGGGGGGGGGGAATCATTCAAAACATGACAAAATGAAATCATAAGTTGACTAAACAACTTAAAAAGTATAGTTGTTAACATAATAGGACTCATGTTACGAAGGGAACACCAAACTGAGACCCACCTTTATTTGTTGTCTTGAATCTTGTAATTCTCAGGATCTCGTTGACTAGGCAGTTCCGGCAGATCTCCTCACGCACACAGTTGAACGAACACACACACACACACACACACACACGCACGTTACAGGTTTCTGGCACAAGTTCTAGATGGTTGCATAAAGCGAAAGAAAAGGGGAGAAATCTAGCGCCAAAAACACAAAAAAAAGGCAAACGCAGGTGCAATAACACTGCTTAAAAAAAAATTACAGTGAAAACAGTGAGAGGAGTAGAGAGAAGGGGAGAGATAGAGGGAAGAAAATAAAACTAGCAGATAGCAGCCCACTCCACACCCCGGTGGTGAGTCGGTGGTGTGGTGAGGATGAGGAGGGCTAGGAGCAGCGTTGGGACGTGTGCTTTGTCAAAGCTGTTGAGTAGGCACAAACTTCTGGTTTCAGATCAGTTAAGTCTTCTCAGAATATGCTTGGGCGCAAGATTGCTTCTCTTCGAGGTTTCAATTGGGCTGATGTGCGTCTTCTTTGGTCGTTTCAGGATTTGGTTGCTTCTTCGTGCGTTTTTTTTTTTTTAAAACCCTTGAAGTGATCCGTTGTTTTTCTATGCGTCTTCTGTGTTGCAACTTTTGCTTGTTTTCGGGAAGGTTTGTCTTCGGTTTCCTTGTGGTGATCTGAACTTGAAGCAGTTGCGGATGGTACAAAAATTCAGTTCCGTTTCACTTCATACTGTTGGGGGGGAAAGCACATTTGGTCAGCTGAGCAGAATTTCCACATCGCTTTGTTGATTAACAACAACAACAACTTTACAGATCAAACTCTTAGGGTTAACGCAAAAGACAAAAGTCCAGAGGGCTCCAAGTGTCCAACTAAGAACGAAAAAACAATGAGGATCAGTGGCTTGAAGATATTTTGAGAATACTAGATTCTTTGCCCCCAGACTCATAACAATAATAAAAAAAGTTTTCCTTAGTTGCCTCTGGACCACAATGCCGGCTAGCTGACTGGCAAGCGGGAGCTGTGGATCAACGAGTCAGTTTGTGCATACCTTTCAGTTCATACCATGATATTTATGGCACCATTTCTGACAAGGACCCTCCGTTTGTTTTTTGAAAACTCATCTCACAACTGGTTTGCACACTTATTATGTTCAGTGTGCAGGTGAGGCCAACCAACCAAGATGAATTACATTTGTGTGTGTACCATGTTGTATGAATTTTGTACAATTTTGTTCGACACGCAGTAAGTTAGAGCAGAGTGTTGTTGACCTAAATACACAGCTTTGAAAACAAGCTGGGTGAGCCAAGCGAGGACACATGATATATATATATATTCTGCCGTGACTGTGTTGCAATGGCTCCCATCTCACAAACTTCCCAAAAAGTACAAATATAATGTTGTAAAACTGCATAAATAGGACTCCAACGGGAGAAAAGGGGCCTTTTCTATTGTTAAAAAGGTGCCTCCTTGATATTTATATCCAACTGTCATATCGGGACTAACAAGCAAAGCACCATTTGTGTTTTGTTACAGTGTTTACACGGCTTGGGTGAAAACTAGACCCAGTGGGACTAAAGCCATATAATGCAGTGATAGCACAAATAAAGAAGTCAGTTATCACATGATGGATTGGTTAAGTGGGTTAAAGGTTATGAGCAGCGACTATGGACGACTGTTCAGTGAAAACAACCTTGGGGGAGATGGTTCTTCTGCTCGCTTTTTTCCTCCTAGCTTTTGGTGACGCAGTAACAGAAGAGACAAAAACAGTCCACCCACTAAACAACCGGTACCGATTGGCCGTCAGCATTTTCTAATGAGCACGAGGAATACGGATACGGTTGATTTCGGTAATCATTAAACAACAAAGAGTAGGGACCGTTCAGACGACCACTGTCACGACGAAGGGGCTAATAACCCACGATAACGTCTCCGGTCTCGCTCACGTTAACAGCCCCAGTCTGGGCCCGAACAACAACCGCCCTGACAGTACCAGCCATGTGACTTCCGAGCACTCCGCCATACTCAGCTGGAGCTGCCAACATGGCCGTGTCCAACACGTTGCAGCACGAAACGCTATCGAGAAACGTCACATCTAAGCTAGCTTAATGTCCAACACGTCAAACTCTAAGCGATGTGCCTGAACAATCGAAGACGGACCGCGTCTCGCCATTTTACCGCTTGCTAGTCAAACTAACGCACACGGTGACAGTCAAGTAAGAAAAATAAAACAAAGATCACATCATCTTAATGACCTTGCGTGGACAAACAACCAGACAGATTAGCATCCCGGCTAACGTCATAAACAGCAGTTATACCCCGGGCGTTTCCGACTTTTACATGCAAATGAATCAACTGCGACATTGTCATTAAGCCACAAGTTAGCTCAAATAGTTAGCACATCTGGCGTTTTTCTCGCATTTTTTGGGGGTATCATCAAGAGTACGTGGCATACCTTGGAGTCTCAGCATAAAGTTAACGGAAAGTAAAATAACAATTGTTATTATTGTGCCCCGAGACAAGCATACCAAGCTCCACCAAAAATAACTACGTGTTCAATAGTTTGTAGTTTATTCTGAAATGTTTACACTTCGTAGAAACACATTTGAGGCTTGCAAAAACAATTCAACACCCGTGTTTTAACAAGTAATTAATGTATTTAAAACATACTCATAAAAACATATTCTGTAGATCTGGGTAACGCGGTGCTCTTCCCTCCGACAACGGGTACTTTGATAGAAATGTGATTTAACAGACAATTTATAGTTGAGAACGGTCGATACTGAAGTGACGCCGAAGCACAGACGGGACCTTAACCACCGATGTTAGTCATCACAAGGGCCATGTAAACTTATAACTAGCTCATCACGGTATAAATATATTGTCCGTAGTGTTAATTAACAGTAACCGAGTTTATTCTGTACATACACAGCGATAACGGCAAGCTAACGGTACGAGGATTGAACAACAAAGAAACTATGGCGAAGGATCGCACTCGATTCTGCTCGACTACCGCGTCTGCCACTGATGTTTAACACATCCACTTCACTAAGGCTGTGCCTCTTTTGTAATGTTACACGTTTTTAGATACATATAGTGGTTTATGTGTCTCGTGAACAATGTCGCGAGGCCGTTCACAATGCTAGGTGGCTAACAGCGGTTAGCTAGCTCGGTCCTTATGTGTGGTGATTTATGGGGAGGAGAAACACGGCTGCCCCCACCCAGGCCCGAGCTCTGCGTATGACTAAAAGCTGGACAACCCGTTCAATTTGGAAGACCCACTGGATAAAAAATATAAACGTCTTACTGACACAACTTAAACGAATGTTTGAAATGTTCCATAAAACAGAATAATTAAGAAAAACTCACCCCAACAGCTTTCAGCACTGTCACCAGCGCCGCTAGAAGCAGCACGGCACATTACGTAGTGATTAGGCAGGCAGTTATCGCGATATTTGACAACGTGAGGACGTCCAAAGTGCCTGAGAGGAGAGAAGGGCCACTGCCGCGGAGCTGCTGATGAATAACCCCGATTGCGGTCCCGAAATGTCCAGGACTAGGCATTTTATCAAACTGGGCTAGAAAGAAGATATAAACGAGCCGTGTCACCGGAAATAGAGTTTCTGAGGCCACACGTTGCAGGTTGGGGGGTGTTCAAGAATTAAATCGATTGAGAAATGTTACAGTATACCATCGGGCACTTTTTATGTCACTCAAATCTGTTATTTGAGGCCGCGATACATCTCATTTCAATTGTTCACTCCTTTAATGATGACTTTAAACTTCAATAGCTGAAATCAAATAGATTTGAATAATTTTCAAATCTCTAACAACATAAGAAAAATTGGAAAGTTTTATAAAACACCAAGTAAAACAAAACACTCTGTTTCATGGAAGTTCTCTGTGGCAAGAACGTATAGATGATCCAATAATGACAGACCATGATTAGCTCTTTGTTAGATATGCCTGTGCGATTTCAATAGGAATATTTGAAACACAGAATCTATTTTTATGATTTGAAAGGCTCAGTTTCCTGTCATTTCCTTTCCTTTAAGTCCTCTCCAGATAGGACTCTCACCATTTCACATTGTGCCCCTCCTGTACAGCTGTGTTGTTTTGAGAATCATAAGCATATTTTGGATATGCATAACTATTAAATCAGTCTCACTGCTGTCAAACGCCCCTCTAATCTCTCCAGTAGATGGCGGTATATACCTTTAAGTTAATGTGCGATTCGCGTTAACGACAAAGGCTAAGACGATACGGAAGTGACGTTAGCGTCAAGTCTCACACGGAAATGGAACACTTGGAACAAAACAGAGGGACAAATTGAGTATTAGTATGTACTGTACTTATTCCGTGTACCTACAAATATTTCCGAAGACCCGCAATATCAGACACGTGGCTATAAAGGCATTGCAGCTGCCTCGGCTAACTGAGGCTGTATAGCCAACGTTGGCTAACGCTGCTCGGTCTTTCACTCTAGCTGGTAGTGTGAAGTGGCTTGTTTACGGTAGCGCGCGGACGGGAGTTGACAGGTTCCAGTATGACCTGCACTTTGGAAAAAGTGTTGGGCGATGCCCGGACCCTTCTCGAGAGGCTGAAAGAGCACGACACGGCCGCCGAGGGACTGATCGAGCAGTCCGGGGCCCTCAGCCAGAGAGTGCAGAGCATGAAGGAGGTGGGGAATGCCCTTCCAGACAAGGTAAGGACAAGTAACGCCCATGTCACCTCAACGCAGGCTACAGAGAGACCTCGCTCAAGTGCTGCACTGCTAGCCCATCACTTTAGAAGTGAAGTAGAATTTAGCAGATGTTTCTTCTGATGTTCCCACAATACTCTCCCGTGAAAACACAGGGAGAAATCATGATGAGATTCTGCGTGTTGGATCACTTCTGTGCCCAGTTTACCCGAAGCATCCTTCAACATCTTCAAAATGATTCGCTCACATGTTTTGTACATGTGCATGTTTGAGATAACCACGACAATGTTAAATTCCTTGGAGTTTGGAGTGACATTCACTGACAGAGGTTTCACTTGATATATTTACATGACACCTTAGTTTCTGTTGTAATGCTTTGCTTGTTTGTTTGCCACTTTTGTAGTATGGTGTCTTATATGAGTTCATATATTTCCCTTCATTCTTCTTCTTTATATTCCCCTGATTTAATATTAAAACAGAGCCACACATCTTTCTGTTCCTTATAATTTCCCTCCCCTCGCCCCATAATGCTCTCTCCTCTCAGCACACAGAAGACAATTCAGAAATTCAGGAGCTGACAAAATACAAGCCCCATGTCCTTCTGACGCAGGAAAACACTCAAATCAAGGATCTACAGCAGGAGAATAAGGGTACAAAATAAACTATATTCTGCTAATTGTATGGCTGCTGTTTTACATCTTTGCTAACCCTCTTCATGACTGTCTCGGCAGAACTGTGGTTATCTCTTGAAGAGCACCAGTACGCGCTAGAGTTGATCATGGGACGGTACCGCAAGCAGATGCTCCAGCTGATGATGGCGAAGAAGGAGCTGGACACCAAACCCGTGCTCCACCTTCACGAGAACCACGCCAAAGTAAGCTCGCCATGTTGACATTTTAAAATTCTCGGCCGTTTCGTAGGTTCGGATTTACTTTGAGGATTCATTTTTTGAACGAAAAAAAAAAATGCATTGAGTTTGAGAAACGTCCTTGTTTTTTTTCTGACCGTTCTCCAGGAGGTGCAGAGCCAGGTGGAGCGGATATGTGAGATGGGCCAGGTGATGAGAAGAGCAGTGCATGTGGACGACCAGCACTACTGCTCTGTTGCAGAGAGACTCGCTCAGCTGGAGGTAAGCACAGCGCCTCAGCAGAATCAGGAATATATATATAATTATTATTGGTTTTTTTTTATTATGAATCCATATTTCTGGGAAGCTATTTCTCTTACTTTCCTAAGTAAGGTGAAGGGATCTTTTTCCATAAATATACCATGATTGAATAATACGTGTATATACAATACAATGTACATGTTTGTATGATTTTAGATTAACTTTTTTATACTCTCAAAACTTCATCTGGACACTTTCTGAAAAAAAAAAAAAAAGAAGGTTATTCTGTTCTGTTCAGATTGAGAACAAAGAGCTGCGAGACCTCCTGGTCATCAGCAAGAGCTCTGTGAAGACAGCGAGAGAGGAAAGCAGCAGCCAGCCGGCACCAGCACGAGAACCGTGCCCTCAGCCGGGACCCTACGAGTGATGAGAACAGCTTCAGTGTGAACTGTGGTCGGGGCAACAAGTCGTTCAGGACCAGGAGATGGGATTTAATGATCTCTTGATGATCTACTGCATTTACCACATTGTTAAAACATTTTTTTTACAGAAGATGAAATCCAGTCAAATCAATTTTTATTTCTTATTGTAGCAAAGGCCACTTAAACACCCCATTCTGGCTATCCCATGCATTTACCTGCAGGTATATCTGGATGATAGCTATTGCTTTCATATGTACAGTAGGTGTATTATCACTGCAGTTGTGTTTATTCCACATAAACCGTGACTTTTAAGGAGGTGAGGTGTCTCGGTTATCACTGACAAGAATTCAGTGGGAGCTAAGACACGCACGTACTGGAGTAGAGGAAGTAAAAAGCAAAGGGGAGTTATTTTTGTTTGTGGCCAAAGACACATTAAACTCTTCAAGGACACAGTTTCTACCTCTTTGGTGCCCCTTTGCTGTTGACACACACTCACAACATGTAAAATACTCATAACCACCCCGACTATGGGTTCACTTGAAGTCCATTGAGAAGCCAACTTGTAGTCTGCACCATTTGAAGAGGCCGTGCTCGATAATAACTCTGTCAACGAGATGACTTTTGGCTGTTTCACACAGTTTGCCTGCTGAGGAGTGACAGTGGATCATTTCTACGTGATTGTCTATCATTTAATGAATTTGATACGTTTGTCAGTCTGTTTTGTAAAATTCATATACACGGTGTCCCAGCTGATGGCGCAACTTTATTTAATGGTAACACTTTCAAAACATGCCAAGTTTTTGTGTAAAGATGATCAAATGTTTGCGAGTTGTATGTGTCAGAAATTGTATATTGTCATCTCAGGAAATCGGTGTTAATACGGTGAACATGCTGTAATGACCTCATGACTCTGTACTGATTTGTGTCAAACGGAATTTCATTCAGAAACTTTAAAATACATTTGCAATAAAAATGGGTGGATGTGGATTTTTTGTATCTGCCTTAACCTATACATATAGAAAGTAAATACTGGAGCTGAATTACTGTATTTTGTTTTACCGGAAGATGGCGACGTTAAGCCGCTTCGATTTTAACGCATCGCGAGGCTTGCAAGAGAGGCGTAATGCTACGTTCATGTAAACCGGTATAAAGGAGCTTTTACCTTTTTAGGAGTGTTTTTTCCAACATATATTTGCTCAACAGCATTGAGCCGATGAAATCAGACTTTCTTTACCGCTGGTGGCATAAACCCACTGCACTTTTTCACGTTCCTCTGCGTTCAAATCGTAAGAATACTACATTTCCGACAGCACGTGAACGCAGCACCCACCAAAGCTGCGTTTGACGCTTCCAGCTCGAGAGAGAAGCTAACGTTCAGCATGTCTGAGAAGGAGTTGGGGAGAAAGTGGGACCGATGCTTGGCAGACGGTGCCATTAAAATCGGTAAATATCTCAGAGTATGGCGCGTGTAACGACATTGTAATGTCGTGGAATATGAACAAAATAAACAGCAGCTTTTTCACTGTAGTCCACAGCTGTCATGTAAGGTTACTGGACGAGAGGCTAACTAGCTAACTGTTAGCCGTAAAGGGCTCCTAAAGGACAACCGAATGACCAGTCAGATAATTACGACTTATTTATTTTGATTGACAAAACTACGATTAATTCTGTAGTTTCATTAAAGTTCCCACGAACGACACCCGTAAATATTTGCATTTCTCTTAGATATCGCTTTTCAAAAATAAAATAACCCGAAGTATGAATGCCCTTCAAAAAATGATAATTTGATGCTGTCTTATCGATGAAGTACACATTATGCTAATACGTTAAATAAGACATTTAACGAGACAATAGCGCGCACTCTTGAATTCGGCTTGCACACACATCGTTTATTTTAATACCATGTCAACTTTCCATTGCCTCAGCTTGTATCTCCACCGTTTTCCACAACGAGCATAGCTAACGTTATATAGAAGCTGCGACAGGAAGCAGCTGCATATAGTTTAGCTCATTTATTAAAGCTTTATGAATCACTCATAATATAGACCAGTGGGTCATGTAATATTGCTAAATACGTCTTCAGTTATGTACCCACTGCTGATAAGCGAAGCAGTGACACAGTACTGGAGTGAGGTACCGCTTCGTTTTTAAAGGAGGCTGCGTATGAAGACCACAGAGAGAAATGACACCACGTTATTGACCGGTTTCAGAGGGAAATATGGGAATACTCCTCCCTACTGTATGAGAGTACACGTTCAAATATCTAGAGTTTCATGTTTATATCCATGTGTACCAGAAAGTAGTGCTGAACAAAGCAACAGAGCTATGCCTTCAAGAACAATACACATAATGTTAATGTGTGAGACAGAATATTCACATAATGGGTCAATTTCAGCAGTGTACATGTTACAGTTAATTAAAGTTGTCATCCATGTCATGATGTAGCTGTTTTTTTTTCCACAGGCACTGGGCTGGGGCTAGGAGTCGTGTTGTCTGTTCTGTTCTTCAAACGTAAGTAGCTTCACTGGATAGTTGGCGTGCTGCATCCTGCAGCTTTGCATGAGGAGCAGAGCTGGAGGAGCGATGCTCTGACACGTCTCGTCTAACTGAACACATTATTCAATGTGGATTCATCATTTAGAGTGTGTGTAGTGCTTTTATTGGTCGACGAGCATCAACAACATCCATCCTCAAAAGCATAAAAATAAAAGAGCATGTGAATATTAAAGTTAATTAGGGGGGGGGGGGGGTGTCACAACAGGAGTGTGAAAATAATTTCGCACACCATCTCTGCTGTGTTTTAATAAAGCTGTGACGTGCTTGAGGAGATATAAAGTACCTGCTTTGTTTCGTAGGGCACAGTTGGCCGATTTCATTGAGCTCGGCAGCGGGACTTGGCATGGCGTATGCTAACTGTCAGAATGACCTGAGGTCCTCGTATCTGCTGCACAGGAGCGAAAAGGTTTGTTCGCGCAACAAAACACATTTGAACTTACAACTTACAGGAATCTCTACCCCTCTGTGTTTGTTTATTCAAATCCAGGTTTATGCAACTGATTTCTGTTTTTTTCATCCACAGGAGCAGTAGCTGCAAGTCATCGAGGGGACTGTCGTTTTTTTGTTCTTTTGACTTTTTGTTTTGCCTGTGGGAGAGTCGCCATTTGCACTGTTCTACAGCTAGATCCCTGTTGAACGATCCATCCTAGTATGACTCTGTATGATTGTATGTGCCTGATCAGGACAGTCTGTGTGTATATATAATAAAATGATCACAACCACAAAAAAGTGATGCCGCGGCATTTCATTTTTGCTTCATATTGAACTAAATAGTGCAAAAATGAAAAAAAGTCACGTAATGCATTATAACAGCTAGATTTTAAACTTGTGTTAATGCAGCTTTGAAAAAGTGGGTTTTCTGTAAAGCAAAACACTGTCCCAGAAGGTGATGGGCTCGGTGTGTGTGAGCCGGGGGTCAGAGGGTTGGCAGCAGCTGATCTGAAGACGGGCAGAGTGATGGAGGAGATCAGTCAGTCCTGAGGGGGCATGAAAATCACGAGCTTTGCACATCATGTTTCATATTTGACAAGGCTATTGAAACGCTGGAGTGATTTTTACCCCATGAATGCCTTTGTTTTATGTTATTATAGCATTCAAGCGCTCCGGTTGGGAAGTGAATAATTATCTGGATTTAAAATAATAATGTAAGAACAAGGTGAAGTGACTCTATTGTTTTCTGGGTTGTTAGAGCAGGGAATGTGAATTTGTTCACCAATGTATGAGTCACAGAAAAAAATACTTCATGACCTTTAATCTAAATCTACTATTGATGGACTTGTGCTCCACGTGTATCTGTGGGTTTTAATTGACATTTCGCATGTTTCAACGTTTCACTGAACAATGAGTCACAGCGAAAGCAATTTGACTTTTTGACACTGACAAGAAAATTAAAGAAAAAATGAAGGCAAAGCTTTATAAATTTGTCTAAATTAAGTGCAATTATGAAATGCGAAAGAATTGATTGCATATGCAGACATTAAGTCAAAAAAGGATTAAACAAATCAAGAACGATACAAGAACATTTCCATGACATGTAGAGTATGTAGAGTATAAATGCTTAAAGGTGCAATGTGTAGGATTTGGTCAGATTTTTTGTTTAAAGCGTACAAAGAACAGAACATGATGAGGTCACAGTGTTATCAATAACTAACCAACCATCAAATTGTTATTGATAAATAATTGATATATTGTAAATTCAGGAGGACTGGACATTTATACCAATACTTGTTCTTCAATGTGACAATTAGTAACATTTGAGATTGCAGCTGCCAAAGTGAGCAAAGAGTTTCTCTTTAAAAATACATTTTAATTTCTAATGCAAACGTTGTTTGCCGTGACAGAGAGGGCTGGGGATTTGTTGAAGTAAAAAAGCACTTTAATTGTGTATTTGGGGTCTTTTTTATGGTCTTTGTACTACCTTGTCATTTGCAAGTGACTTCATTATTTCAAGTGCTGATTGTAAAATGAAATGTTATTTTAGTGCAAATTAGTTCAGCTAATGTTAGCCAGCTAAATCTGTTTAGACATCCTAAATTCAATTGGAGATAAAAACCTTTAGCGTTAGTCAGAAATGATCCTCGTGAAGGTGTAAAAGAAACAGACAGGAAGCTGCATTGTGGGTGAGTGACAGCGAATGTTACAGTCTCTTTAGCTTAACGGCTGTCATGAATTATGTGTGTGCTAGCCAATAATACAAGCTAAATGACAAGTATGAATGTAAATCACTGAGGCAAACTGCAGGTATTGTACGGTCAAGTCGTATATTTACGTAACTAACGTCATTGAGTCCAACCGGTTATAATCAGAGCCATAAATAAATGGATGTTGTTGAGATTGCAGTCTGGTCAGCCATAATACTTTGGTTATGTTTCATGATGTAGCAATCTGAGCTATATGCAGCTGCAGACAGAGCCATGACCTGTTTACAGTATATATACGTATATATATATCAGTCAACATCTCATAATGCCTTTGTTTTTTTTATTCTGTGGAAGCACTTTTCAGTTAAAGGTGAAACAACACCGATGTGACGGGTTATAGTGGGACTTGCCTTCAATAAAGTGGCACCAATGCAGAATTAGAACGCTGTCGCAATGACCCTTCCTTCTTTTATAGGTGTCCTGGTTGCAGCGTATGGGAACGACATCAGAAAGAACAGGAAGTAAACATGGACCCAAGCTGTTGCCTAGTAACGCAACCCTGTTGAATGGCGCTAAAACGGAGCGTTTCAGACACACAGGTGTGTGTTAGACAGCATGAGAAAAATAAATAATAATAATAAGCATGTAAACTTGTGCTAGTAGAAACAAAATACTAATATGAACCTGGAAATTAGCAAAATATGTCTCCTTTAAATTCAAAGTGGCAGAAAAATGACTTGTATTTTCATTTCCATCGTCCCTGACACCAGAAGACGACTTCGCTGGGAGGAGAGCATGCTGCAGCTTCAGTTAGCAGTTAGCTGTAGCGTTAGCAACTCGCATCTGTTGCGCTGGCATTTACGCTGGTTGAATGCCAGTTGGCACCGCTAAACGCTAACTGAAGGTGCAACTCTTTTTCTTTTCTTTTTTTTTCTGAACGATGACGTTTGTATTGACACAGTAGAAGAGGTGACATGTGGCCCGATATTCGATCAGAGCATGTGGCCAGATCGTACACATTGCACCTTTAATCGCATCCAGTGTGTCTTGTAAGTCACTAAAACATGAAAAAGGCAGAGAGGGGGACTTCTTTTTATAGATAAAGGACCTTCCTACTACTACTCTAAAAAAGAAAAAAAATATATGATCGATCACTCCTTTAATTAATAGATCTGACACTCACTGTGTCTATAAATTGTACACATAAAGAACACATTGGAGGAAATGCATTCACATCTAATCTTTCTAATGCCTAGAAAACAATGGCATAATAGTACCTCAGTGAAAGCACCATGACCAAACATGGAAAAAGACCACCCACACCAATTCCCATGCTGAAGAATTAGCATATCTTGGCCGTGATTTGTGGCATGGTTATGCATTAGCAGCTCATTGCTTTGACACGCTCCTTCTCAGAGGCTGTGCGCTCTGGCTGGGAGGCGCGCTGGAGTGGCCGACACAGGGATTAACAGGAGCGGGGGGGATGTAAAGGCAGCGTTGCAAGGATCATGATACCTGTAGAGCACTTGTGAGCGGTGCCCCGCTTACAAACGACTGCTTCGCACTTTTGTGTCGGTTTCTGCTCCCCTTTTGCTGTTTCCCCGGAATGAAAAGGACTTGTGAAAGAAAGGCAGCAAAGGACCCCGGCTCCGTAAAGGAAGCTGTGCAATCCCACTTCTGAGAGGTGAGGTACGATTCTGAAAACTAGTCCTTGCTCTCTTCGTCTTCAGTAGTTCCGAATGCCTGGTCGGGCTTATCTCTCTGTGTATCCCTCCTCCAGCGACTGTCATCACTGTGACATGCTGCTTTCGAAAGCCTCTGTCAGCCGTCGAATGGCTCATTCTGGCTCTTAGCTGTGGATGAGGTGGGGACATGCTGGCCAGCATGGAGAGATGAGTGAAACTGTGTTGGTGATTTTGATCACTGTGCCGGCGGCAGTGGAAGTAAGCCCAGGGCACCTGGATGCATTCCTGCTAGAAGGGAGATGGAGATATTTACCCATGGAGAAGAGTCTGGTTAACCTTGACAGGAACATGGTTGGATGGCTTCTCAACACCTCAGTGGCTTCTTTTTAATTCAACAAAGTCCCAAAAGTGAGAGCTTTGTCTGCAAAGGAGAACTGGCTAAGATGTGTAACATCTAGTGGCGCCTGAAGAGGAACCCTCGGGAGCTGGTTTCGTTGATCGTCGCCAACCAGCACCGTGGCCGACTCTCACTTGTCTGGCTCCATGGGAAGCTACAACATCAGCTCTCCCGCCGCCAGTGCTTGGAACATCACTGGCAGCGGCCCGTGGTTGCTTGCCTTCATGCTGACTGCCATCATCCTCATGACGGTCTGTGGCAACATGTTGCTCATCGCTGTGGTGTTCGCCCATCGCTCTTTGCGTTGCACCTCAAACTGCTTCCTGGTGTCCCTGTTCCTATCTGACCTGATGGTGGCAGTGGTGGTCATGCCGCCGGCCATGCTCAACGTCCTGTGCGGGGCCTGGGTGCTGTGGCCGGCCTTTTGCCCCATTTGGCTCTGCTTCGACGTCATGTGCTGCAGCGCGTCCATCCTCAACCTGTGCGTGATCAGCCTGGACCGCTACCTCTTCATTATCTCGCCGCTGCGCTACAAGCAGAGGATGACCCCGCCCCGGGCATTGCTCCTGGTGGGAGCTGCTTGGGGCTTGGCGGCGTTGGCCTCCTTCCTGCCCATCGAGATGAAGTGGCACAGCTTGGGACACGGGAGTGTACACGCGTCGGCCCCGGGGGTCAGCGGTGGCAACATCAGCTCTTACTCTGACACGCTGTACCCAGCATCCTACTTTCAGCTGTCACCATCAGGGGGGCTTTCCTTCCAGTGCCGCCTGCAGGTCACCCTGCCCTTTGCCCTGGTGGCGTCCGTGGTCACGTTCTTTCTGCCCTCCAGTGCCATTTGCTTCACTTACTGTCGGATCCTCCTGGCGGCGCGGAGGCAGGCTAAGAGGGTCGCGGCAATGAGCAACCCGCCACACCCGCACCCCTCTTTAGGCGAGCCTTCCAGGCCTCCTTCACCTGGGGTCGCAGCGGGGCAAGTTCACCAGGACGGAGATGACTGCAGTCACCAGGAACCTCCCGTGTCACAGAATGTACCGGTAAGCAAAAGAGACCAAGCAGTAAAGCAAACCAGGCAGGGTAGATATATACTTAAAGGTTGAGTTCTGACCAAGACTGGTGAGGTAACAGCAATTTCTAAGCGAAAGCCAAAGATAAAGAAGTCAGCAGTGGTGCTAAAATAGTAGACTGGCCTTTAAGTGGAGCGGACTGTAATGAGAGTAGGAGTTGAAAAGGTTGATTCTGTGAGTGGAGCAGGTGGCACAAAGATAATAACCAAATTGCAGTTGTCCATCTATTACGAGAGTTCTCAAGCGTGTCTTTTCCTTGACATTTTGAAGATTTTTACCTAATGCTGTTCATACCTACGTCTCACGCCGGCCCTTAAAATGACAATTATGCTGTTGAAATCCACTCCTTACATTTTAATATCATCTAAGTGCAGCTATTATAAACCTTGAGATGGTTATTTTACATTATTGAGTGTCCTGATGCGCTCAATTATAAACGTACCTTGGAGTTGACCTATTTTGGAAGTATATCTGAAGCAAACCACTTAGTGTTCATCATAGTGAAGGTTTACAGCCTATCCAACGAGGCTATTTAGTTATGACTTTGTTTTTTGTCATGGCAAATAACTTTAATCATCATTATCAGGCTGTAAAAAGAATCAGAAGAGATACAATCCATAACAACACTGCAGTGCATGACGGAGAGCTGAAAAAATGTTTGGCTCTTCATTTATGAACGAAAAGGAGAGATCCGGTGAAAGAGTGAAACCTGCCCCGAAATCTTGGAGATGAAAGTACAGTCAGTGTGTCAGATGTGCTGCCCCCATTTGTTAGGATCACAGCCTCAAAGTCTGTCACATTTGTCTGCAGTAAAACCACGCTTACACACACACACACACACACACACACACACACACGCACACACCAGACCAGCCAGTTCAAAATTAATTTCTGGAGAATTTGAAACGCCTTTAATATTTAGTTTTCAGATTTTTTTCTCTATTATGTAGCTTTAAAATCATCTCATTATTTTGTTCATCAAAACTTTTCTGTATAAGCTTGTTCCATTCTCCATCTTTTTCTCCATCTTTGGGAATTTTACAATCTCCACTTAATGTTTTTATTAAAGGATGTGGGTTTCAACAATATTTGGCTGCAAGTTGGTTTGGACTGGCCCACTGAAGTTTAAAATGAGCTATGGGGCTACAGCCAGCAGGTGATTGGCTCAGCTTAGCATAAAGACTGCAGGGAGGTTGAAATAGCTAGCTTGGCATTAAAGAAATTGTTCTAGTGTTTTTTACACTTTAGTTGTTTTGAAGATTATACAAATGAGATGTGACGTCAATTTCAGCTTTAGAGGTAGCTGGTTTTCTAGCAAGCTAACTGGCCGCTTGCTAGCTTTATATTTAGAGTACCGACATGAGGGTGTTATCAATCTTTACATCTAACTCGCAGCAAGAAAGCTAAATAAGCGTATTTGCCACAATTACTGACAATTCCCCTAATTTAATTTATTAATTTGAGAAAAATGAGACAGCTTCAAGCAAACTTAAACAGTTAAATTTATGTAATTAGCTTGTCAAAGAGACCATAAAGGGGTACAGGGAAGCTTTTCCAAAATACTAATGTAGGGAAGGGAGATTTACAGTGTATATTTCTATGTAATTCTAGGATTAACCCTTTTCTTTTGTTCTCTACTATCCACAGCCGTCAGTGAACAGCGAGCGTCGTCTGGCTCACAGGCAGGGTCGGAGGGCACTGAAGGCCAGTCTGACTTTGGGAGTCCTCTTGGGACTCTTCTTCAGCGCTTGGCTGCCCTTTTTCATCACCAACATGGCCCAGGTCAGTATAGAGAGGGACCAGACACTGACTCTACTGCAGATATGGCACAGAAATGTAGTCAATTTAAATGATAAACACACACCGGTGACGCAACATATTAGCATCCATTTGATGCGTCAAACAAATCTTGAATGCTTCAATCTTTCCAGGTTGCCTTCACCTATGGGCAAGTGTTTCTCCACCATAAAGATTCCCAACAACTTCCCTCAACATTTTTAGTCTGAGGTTGCTTGTTTTTTCTTCTTCTTCTGCAATAGCTCTCAGTCCTATTCCATACATCTGAGTCACCCTGTGGTTTTTTTTGGTCAGTTTTCTCACAAATGTATATTTGCGGTGGGCCCCAAAACAGTGTGAAGTAAATGCAAAAGAAAAAAGAAAAGGAAAGAGAATAAACACACTTGGATATCGGTCTATTTTTGTATCGGCCAGCCTTGGCGTCACAGCCCTGCCAAGTTATCCAACGAGTAAATAGATTGGCATTTCAGCTTCGTGCGGCTGACTCACTCCAAAAACCCAGAACACAACGCACCACAGCACCATTTATAATCGGCATTCTTTTCTTCCCCCCCCCCCCCCAAGTTGATTTTTTGATTTGATTGGACTGAGTACCCATTAGTCAGCGGGCAAACATTGAGAAACCTCGGCGAGCCTAAATGAATGTGGAAAAACAGCTTAATCTAAATTGGTAATGACACTTGTCCTGTTTTTCAAGCTTTCAATGATCCAGTCATTTTGATTTCCCATCTGTGCCCTCTCGCTTCTCCCCTGCATAACATAGAGCACAGAGACTCGACTGTGTCTGCGCTCTCCTTCCTTTTCACACTCAATGTGGTGTGTGAAACGCAACCCCCCCCATTTCTGTCTTATTCCCACCGCCTCCCCGTCTCATCTTGATAGTATTGGAAGCTCTCCTCTAACAGCTGCCTCCTCCTTCACTGTCCTTCTCTAAACCTATAGTGGTTGTGCTCAAGATCGGGGTTTTAAAACAGCCAAACGCAAATGTACTTTCAAGTTCTACCCAGGGAAAATGAGATGCTCGATATATTGGAAAAAGAGCGATGGACAGCTCATGTGAGTAGTCAGAGAGAAGATCTGGCTTCTTCTTTTTGTGTGATGATTTCAGACTCAGCTATTGCAAATTCATAGGGGCCCAATATGCACTAGGAAAGTAAATAAATAAATACATGAAGTAATGGGATTTAAATAAAGATTACATTAGATGTTAAATATATATATATATATATTGTATTTGAGTCTTTATCTCTTTATTTTGGAATTTATTTATGTGGTTTTTTTTACGATTTCGCAGGGGCACAGAAAGTAAATCAAAATTAGCTCAATAAAAAATGTTTATTATAAATAAATGTGCACTAGACATTTTGAATACATTTTGAATAATTCAATTGTGAAAATAATTAGAAATACAGTAGTCTAAATTAATATGCACAATTAGCTAAAAATAAATGTTTTGATTAAAGTAAATAAATAAATAAATGTGCACTGTAAATGTTAAATAAATAAATATGCATTTAAACGGCTAAATAATGGACAATAAATGAATACATGTACTGTATTTATTTCTCTATTTAACTCTCGCTATCATTCTATTATAATTAAAAGGTGTGTCATTGAGGTCTTACATTAATTTCACTTAATTTGAATACATTTCACATTTCTAACCCTACATTCTTCTGACGCTTCTAACGTCTGCATTGCTCTCCGCCGTCTTCATCCAGGCGGTGTGTGAGTGCGTCCCCCTGGCGCTCTTCGACGCCATCACCTGGCTGGGCTACTGCAACAGCACCATGAACCCCATCATCTACCCGCTGTTCATGCGGGACTTCAAGCGGGCACTGGGGAGGCTCCTGCCCTGCTGCTCCTCGAAGTCGCCCAGGAGACCCTCGCCGGCGCTCTCGCTCTCCCTCCGCAACTCCGGGGAGCCGAACGCCGCCAGCAGCCCCGCCTCCCCACTGGCCTCCGACCCCACGCACCCTCCCGCCACCGCCACCGACGCGGTCAACCTGCTGGACGCCGAGCACGCCGGCGTCGAGCTGCCTCTGCTTCTGCCCAATCAGGTCGACACTCTGGATTGAGTAGCATTTATGGAAACGCCCCATGTGTTGTTGTTCCAGGTTTTGTGGTGTGGAAGTGATTGAAGACATGTATTGTCACAGAAAAAAAAAATGTCTATGGACAGAAATTCAGGAAGCTGCACCCTTGTTCTACCTTGAATTGTGTGTTTCTCTCCAATCATGAATTATTATGAGTTATTGATACCAAAACAAAAGCCAGGGACTCTTGAAGATCATCAGTGCCAGTATTCAATGTAATGACAACCTTGAAACTATGTGGTAAGCAGCGCTTTACATTGGCATGGGTGGAACAGAGAAAGACACATTCAGTGAATCCCCCCCCCCCCCCCATGGAGTTTAAATTGCAGTAATAATAGCCATAGCAACCAGGCCAACGGATGAAGATGAGAAGGGCGAGAGGAACAGAGATATCACCTGCAAAACACAAGTAACATGTACATCTCAAAGTGACTTTAAAAAAATGACACTATTCACAGTTTATAAAAAAAAAAAAGTACTTAATTTAAAAAAAATTCTATTAAATTAATACATTCGTCTAAAAACATTTTGTGGTTCGTCAAAGCAGTTCATTCAGGGGATTTTCACTCTCGGCTGTGAGTGTGCACCGGCTCTTCAGCCGTCTCTGCCGTGTCAGTGGTCAGTGTGTTGAGAACGGAACGGAAATGTTCTCCAACAAAAGCTTTGATGCTGGAAAAAAAAGAAAACTTGAGAAGACAAGCTTTTTTTTTTTTTTTACAGGGAAGCAGCCGGTCCCAGTGACATGCTCTTTACAAGTCTGGCTGCCTTTGTTTGTGTGTGTGCTCTGTGGTCCAGTGTGTATCGTCCCAGCTCCACGATGCGTGTTCACTATCAGGCTCGGCGTCCTCCGCGCTGCCGAGCGGGGCGTCGGGAGCAGACGCTGTGTCGTCATCGCTTGCCTTCTCCTCAGAAGTCCGTGGCGAAGTGTTCCTGTCCGACTCCGCATCATGTAACGAGTCCAGCAGGTGCGAAATATCAGGGATGTCCCAGCCATCACCCGCCTCCTCCGTCTCCGCCGACTCTCTCACGTCTCCATTTTCCCCCGCCTCAGCCTCCTCCGCTCGCCGTCGTGTCTCAGTCGCTTCTTGCTCGCTGGGCGTCTTGTCAGCAACGTCCAGCGTCCCTGGAAGCACAAAGGAGGCCCCTGGGAGCACAAAGGAGGTCCCTGGAAGCACAAAGGAGGCCCCTGGAAGCACAAAGGAGGCCCCTGGGACTTCCTTGGTGGGAACTCCTACTGCCACCAAGATGGTGTCCATCTGGCGCATGTAGTCCAAGTGACCTTTCACCTGGGAGACAGAAGCATGGGTTTTACTGTTGCCGACTAAAAAAAGGACACACGTTGCTTTGTAAGTGACGGCGTCTGATTTCAGTTTTCTTATTCCCTCACATCACATGGCCTGTCATATAGCGTACGGTGCTTCTGACATGTCTCGTATCTTTTTACCTCTCTTTTTTAAAATGTTCCCCTTAAACCTCTCAAATACTTCACCTAGTTTTTTTCTTCTTATATTCTAATTTTATTTAAGCAATACCACTGCCTCTTTTAAATAAAATGATGTATTTCATAATTATGCATCGATTAGTCAAGGACCACCTTGTATCATACTTGTGTATCTGAGGCCACTGCTGCAGGTGCTTTTTCTCCTCGAGAGGCGAAAACCTTGAGGTGTTGAATGAGCTTCAGCTCACATGCACTTGGAAAGCTATTCATTAAGGGGTCTTTAGCGGGGGCCTGATGTAAATGTGAGCTCTGACTCACCACGGAGGAGAGATCCACATTGATTAGACGCCGATCCTGGATGTTGATAGGCTGTAGCCCGGCGACAGACAGTTGTGCAGCTGAGCTTCGGTACAAGAACCCCAGGAGCCAGTCCCCTCTGATCAGTGGACAGTTCGAGAGAGTAAATCACTCGTGAGATGCTTAAATCACAATTCCTGCTGTCCAGGCGGTAGTTTCAGCGGCTAAACCATGAGTACACCGAAACTATGAAAGTCACTGCAAGCTTTTACTGTAAAAGAATAAATAAAAACGTGGCCGTTTCAGATTACCTGCAGTAGCCGTTGACTATTTTTCCAGCCACTACCCTGGTCATTCTCTCCCAGGCCTTCTCAGAGCCGTCCACAGGGGCCCCCAAGAGGACTACATCCTCTACTACTCCTTCACTTCCTGGGGAATCACAACAACACAGGACTCAATTGGTTTGTCTGTGTAAAATTATTCTATTACACAAGGCATAAACGCTTTTAAATGGATATTATTTAGGGCCGTCATCAAAACAATTCTACTTATCAGATGAGTGTGGCTTTTAAAAGCCGTGACTCCTCACAAAGACCATGGACAGTCGGTCATAAAACTCTAAAAGGTCTTCGTACCTTGGTCGTTGGCGAGCTCCTGTAGACAGTAGTAGATCACTCTGGCCCCGAGACTGAACCCTATGAGGCTGACGGGACGCTTCCCCTTCAAACACACGGAGAAAGAGAAGAGATGCACCATTCTGGAGCCTAACGTAGGCTCACCATTCTGTCTGAGCGAGAGCTCATATTTCAGCATTTCATTCAAAGTCTCGTTCTAAATCGACAAATCGAACAGAAACATCACGGTTCCAGTCGAGCTGATGCAGTTAATAATGTGTTTTTACAGAATGTGTAGAACAAACCCTGACACGACACTGTGGTACACTACAGTAAGGGAGGGTGAATAGGGTCAACTGTATTTTACTAACAGATGTCAAAATGGAACTTCCCCTGTTGATTTCTGACATTAAGACATTTATGTTTTGTATAATACATTTACTGAAATTGTATGTTTAAATATGATAAATATGGCGTTATCTGTGCTAGTGTAAAAAAAAAAAATATATATATATATTTTAATAATTTAATATTTAACTCAAGGGTTTTTACTGAGGGGATTTGGGATTTCTCTTTTTATCAGTCAGAAAATGAGCCATAAAAATTAAGATAGGAATGTAACCGGAACGTTTTGTGTATGTAAGTGCTACTGAAATGGAAGACTTCGTGAGTATCAGAACAAAAACTAATTTAAGACATGTATTGTAAAATGATGACATACATTTTGAAGACACTACATGTGAATAGTTTCAAGTTTTCTGAAATTTCATATTTAAATATGCAAATGAGGTAACTTTTGGTGAATTTAGTAGAAATCTACAGACTCAAACAGAAAAAGTAGTAAAATAAACATCTAAAAGTGTATTTTGGACATTTCCTCTCCACTGTCCTGAAGGAAGACATGTTATGGAAGATAAATAGCCCGGCATGATTGTTTTTCCTTCAGTGCTTTAACAGAGGTTAAGAGGTCACACGATACCTGCTGTCTGCTTCTCAAAACCTGCGCCAGCTGCTTCCCCACTTCCGCCGAGCGGTTCAGACAAACGCTCCAGGGGTTGTCGATGACGCTGGCCGCCGCCAGCAACGACGCGGGCCACGTCAGGGCCGCCACGATGCCTGTGACAGTGTGGTGGTGCAAAAAGACATCAACGTGAGCCAGGTGAGGGTCAATACTACAAATAAGAACAGGCTGGATAACACAGTCAGGGATTGTTCAACCGAAATCAACCAAGTTTGTAGTTCAGAACAGAACCTGAGAGCACGGTGTACTTGAGCGCCTCCTGGGCCACCATGCTGACCAGCCCGTCCAACAGGGAGGCCATGGCTGAGCCCAGATCCCTGAGGAAACGCGACTCCCACACCAGGCAGTACTGCTCGCCCCACTCTCCCAGGCTGCACCACGGGGCCTGGAACGAACCTGGAAGACAGCGGTTGTTGTTTTTTTACGTAAGGAAACGACTAAGCGCCACTTGCGGGTGAAGTGTTTAAAGCCATTGTATGTGAAGGGGGTGCCGAGGTTTTAAGTGAGTTTTTTGTAGAGGGGGAAGAGAGCTGCATGGTTTTATGCCAAAGCAAAAACGTAAGTGGTTTGTTTGCATAATCTTCCGTGGACACTCTGGTATAGGTTTAGAACATTAAGTGCACAACTGTTGCCCAGCAATCCCGTCTATGTTCTACTCTCTGTCTCGGTAATATTCATCCCTCGTTTCTTTTTGCTGCCACCTCACCACTTTAACGCCGTTCAACTGAGAGAGAAGTGTTTGTATCTTCCACACATTAAAAAAAAGAAAATTCTATTCTAACTTAGAAGGTAAATATTTCAACCTCAACCTATTTTCCTGTTTTTTTTTGTGTCTAACATACTGATATGGAAAACTATTTCTGAATTTGGTCCTGACCCGGCGGCCGCGAAGCTCTGACAGACTGGTGGTGTTCCTCTGGTTGCTGTGACAACGAGCACCACAGAGGAAGAACACTGTAAAGAGTGTTGATACCCGATATTCAGATTTCACAACGGGACTTGGGCACAATAACTAAAGAGACCGGATCAAGCGAAACGTTTCATTTCTCTGTAGGGTGCTTTCCATAATGCTGTCAGACACTTATAATTACAATCTGAGCAACAACAAGCTCATTTAGTGAAGCCAATGTTACTTAGACGTTGCTTAATTGCCCTTGCAGGTAATTTCACGGCTTCCGGTTACAGCGCTATCCCTCGAAACTGGACGCATTAAAAATAATTGTAGTCCCCATCATTCACTTAGACACAGAAACATGTGAAAATGTGGTTTGAAAAATACAGAAGTAACCCTTTCAAAGGCTTAACTTTCACAGTAAAGACCGCTATGGGGGGATAGAATGATTTGCACACATTCAACATGTCCAGTGTACTTGTAGCTGTGCAATAGTGAGACAGTGGAAGCCACACTTACTGTATTTACCGCTGCAGAGCCAGCCCGTCACCGCGATGGTCAGGTGAAGATGCTTCCCGGAGCTCAGCGGCAGGAACTCAAACTCCTCTATCGCCCCGACACACTTGTTCATCTTGTAGCCTGGAGAAACGACGGGCGGAGACGAAACACAGGTGGAGAAGATGAGGAAACACGGGAACACCACAACACCACTGTCGTGGGAACACCACAACAGTGTTTTCTTCATAAAGTTCCGTGAACATTCTAACAATGACTTCTTGTCGTCCTCTCACCGGTCAGTCCAGCTCCCGCTGCTCCAAACAGGGAGGCCATGATTGCGATGCCGGTGGCTGAGCCCAGAGCAGCGGCCCCTGTGGCCCCCAGCACAGCACTGGCCCCCGCTGCCACCAAGGGGGCGGCCAGCCCGCCTGTCACGCCTGGCAACAGCACAAAGATGCACAGTCAGCACAGAAGACAATATGCAAAATCGAGAGGGAAAAAACACTGAACTGCACGGTGTCTTCGTGCATTATTCTGAAAGTCTTAACACTCTACGGTGGTTTAATTATCCGTGGATTAGCTTATCAAGTCTCCACATAAGATACTATTAATTTCTAAAGTCCATTAAATGTTTTCAAAAACATTTGAATCAGGGAGAATCACCAATCACGGTTCCCCCGCCAACGGTGGCCAGTCCAATGAGGAGGTAGCGCCGCAGCTTTCGCCCTCTTTCTCTCCTCAGCCGCCGAGACGACTCCTCTCTAATGGAAGCAGACAGATCGTTAGTGTGAGTTGAAATATTCTGCTTGTTTACGCCACACAGCTTATCTTCCCGCTATCGCTTTGGAATGCGAGTGTGACTGCGAGTGCGTTGTTTAAAACAGTCGGACACACGCCTGTTTAAAACACATCATCATCAAGTATTTCAAACGAACGGCACCATGTCCATCGTCTATGCTTCCAGTCCAAACACAACTTACTCGCTCTCCTCCCCTCCCTCCCTCAGCCTCTCTCCCAGCGTTTCCTCAAACTCCTCCAGCTGCTGTGGAAAGACTCGTAGCAGACAGCTGACGTGACGGATGAGAACCCTCGACCTGGCGTCATATTGGCCTGAGTACATGACGGACCACCAAAGTTATAAAAGGTAACAGGCTGATGTGAATTTGCACCAACATAAAGTAGATCAGTTATTAATATATCGAAGGATTCTTACCGTCCTTGACAGAAAACGTCACCAGATCCTGTAATACAAAGCGACAGCTGGTTATCATTTTGACGCAAAAGGAGTAAAATAACATTCAATTAATGTTATTACAAATAAAGTGAAAAGCCAAATTTTTCTGTCAGCATGATCAGTTGTTCCGTCTAACCATAGATGAGTGATGAGAGTGACCAACACCTGTATGATGGGGGTGGCCCCCGCAGACAGCAGTGGCTCGGCCTGTAAGATGGAGAGGAAGGTGTCGGAGCCTTCGAAGCCCAGGCCGGACAGGAAAGCCGCCATCACCGGCATCACCGACTCATCCAGGTTCAGCCAGCAGACCAAGCCCTGCAGATACTTCTCCCTGAACACGCTGAGGAACACGGTTCACGGTTAAAGCGTTATTGTTCACAGTTTAGATTTTTTTTTAAAGTTACGAATGCACGTGGATATCCACAAGCGACAGAAATGTTTCATTTGCGCAGAAAAATAAATACATAAATAAAAGATCAGTCCTCATGATTTATTTTAGGTTGTAACTGGATTTATATATATACATATATACATATATATA